ATTTCTATTAATATTACTATTTTGACAAAAGAATACTAAATAGGATGCTTTAGGAAAGAATGGAAAATGAAGCCAAGTCGAAAGAGAGGCGTTTTTTTCCTATCCTTTTGATTCATATTAGATTGACCCATCAATTTATATTTGATTTATATTTAGACAGGTGACTTAGGTCTACGGTTGTTATATTTTTCAGTAAATTTAACCTCATCTTGAACTGAAGATTACGTAGTTCAAATCTTTCATATAAAAATACAATTTCAATTCCAAATTCTGTACTTCAAAAATAGTTTGGACTACAACACTTTACTGGCATGCTTTCAATCTTTTTATTTTTCAAATTTACAATATTTCCACTCTTTCACAGAAAGCTTTATCATTGACTAAAGATACAGCCTGTAATACAATCTATATCAAAAATACAACCAAAAACAGATCTAACTGGATGGATTTATTTCAGTAAAATTATTCTTACCAAAAACTGGACTCCAATTTGAAAATATTTCAAGGTTCTGTAGTTTTGTTTGAGTGCCCGATTACAGCAAAATTTCAGTTATCTATTTTGCATAAATTGCTAAAGTAAAACCAAAATTAAACGTCACGAAACGTCATAATTACCACTTTTTATTAAATTATAGTTTGCAGTTGTTTTGATTTTTTCATTCAAGTTGGCAAATGTTAATTAATTGGTGGTAAATTTGAATAGTGTTTGAAGGATGGTTAGAAAACTTTGATAGTTAATTTGATCTGAAAGTTAAAAAAGGGTCACATGTAAAATTGTTTTCAGAATGTATTGCTGAAATGTGCTGTTCAGAAACCATTTAAAGCATTGATCATATTTGAGTCAAATATATGAGAGTACTTTTTTAGAGCAATTCCTCAACTTCCACTTCCCTGAAAAGAGTCTTGAAAATGATACTGTGATAAGATAAAGGAATGGCATTAATTATTTTATATCTTTCACACCAAGTTAGATATTACATCTTAGTCTGATGGAATGATCTGCAATGACGATAATAAGAACTCACTACAAGCAGTTGTACTCTCACTGAAAATTTCATGTAATAAATTTATCGAAAAAATTAACATTTGATTAGTTTTTAGCCAGATATCGAAGTCATACAAGTATCATTGTAATATACTGTGACGATTGGTCATTGTTGGTATCTGATAAATACATTGTACATATTTTATTCTCAATTTTAACCTTATTTCATGGATATGAATAAATGAATAAGCAAGTGCAAGGGGTTTAGTGTATAAATAAATAAGTAAGCATATGAATAATTGTAGGGATAAAGCATGACAAGGAATTCTCAAAATGAATGCTTGCTACATATGTTGAGCGAAACAAAAAAAAACAAAAAAAGAGAATAATCGAATTCATCTGATTTTCTTTGTAGAGAAAGATTAGTTCATACTTATAAGCATGTTAGAAACTGTAGCAATGTTCATTCTTTGCAATGACTACTTCTATCAAACAACTTCAATGCATTATCAATAAACCAATACTTTTATCATCTGAAGGAGCTTGAGACATAAGCTGTACACTATTATTAGTATTTTTTTTTCGAATATTTTTTAATCTTCTTCGGAAAAGTCCGGAAAACAAACATATTAACAATTAATTATAGCCAAAAATACCA